CAGGTCTGTGGTCACCTCTTCTAGTGTCCTTACAGGTCTGTGGTTCTCTTCTGTGTCCTGTACAGGTCTGTGGTCACCTCTTCTAGTGTCCTGTACAGGTCTGTGGTCACCTCTTCTTAGTGTCCTGTACAGGTCTGTGGTCACCTCTTCTTCTAGTGTCCTGTACAGGTCTGTGGTCACCTCTTCTAGTGTCCTGTACAGGTCTGTGGTCACCTCTTCTAGTGTCCTGTACAGGTCTGTGGTCACCTCTTCTTCTAGTGTCCTGTACAGGTCTGTGGTTCTCTTCTAGTGTCCTGTACAGGTCTGTGGTTCTCTTCTAGTGTCCTGTACAGGTCTGTGGTCACCTCTTCTTCTAGTGTCCTGTACAGGTCTGTGGTCACCTCTTCTTCTAGTGTCCTGTACAGGTCTGTGGTCACCTCTTCTAGTGTCCTGTACAGGTCTGTGGTCACCTCTTCTAGTGTCCTGTACAGGTCTGTGGTCCTCTCTACAGTGAGAAGAATGACACCACTTCATAGACCTCACCTAATGTGCTTGGGTCTGAGATCAGATCTCCAGGAAGGGGAGATGTCCACCTCCCTGACCTCACTTATAGAAGAGAGACCTGACAATAGATGGAGGTCAGAAGATTCGTAGAATACTCCTGACATTCTCATGCGCAGTTGTTTTCATCTGAGCATGCATGTTTATGGCACATTAAAGCACCCCAAACCCTGAGCCGCCTTATTGGAAAAGAGAGAGTCCAAAATGTATCAGTTTTGGTGTGTCACCCTCCCATCCCTTGGCCATAGATGGATAGAAATTCAGCCGGTTCAGTGGGAACCCGTGAGTTTAGATCATGTGTGGCCACTTCTACCGATCGACTTCTGTTGAACTTCTCTTTCAGGTAAAAGTCACTCGATCAGCGGCTGGATGATGATCTGTGTATTCCGATGGTGGGGGAGTCTCGCCGCTGTCAGAATACAGGTGTGGAGAGGATTCCCCCATCCACCTCAAATGTGTGGCAGAGGAATCGGTTTTCATTTTTTTTCTTTGAGCTGGTCATGCAGTAAGAGTCACAATGAGCATCTCAGGGTGTGATAACCACTTCCTATCCCTCACCAGGAGTGATAGCGCTTCCTATCCCTCACCAGGAGTGATAGCGCTTCCTATCCCTCACCAGGAGTGATAGCGCTTCCTATCCCTCACCAGGAGTGATAGCGCTTCCTATCCCTCACCAGGAGTGATAGCGCTTCCTATCCCTCACCAGGAGTGATAGCGCTTCCTATCCCTCACCAGGAGTGATAGCGCTTCCTATCCCTCACCAGGAGTGATAGCGCTTCCTATCCCTCACCAGGAGTGATAGCGCTTCCTATCCCTCCCCTGGAGTGATAGCGCTTCCTATCCCTCACCTGGAGTGATACCGCTTCCTATCCCTCACCTGGAGTGATATCCCTCACCGCTTCCTATCCCTCACCTGGAGTGATACCGCTTCCTATCCCTCACCTGGAGTGATACCGCTTCCTATCCCTCACCTGGAGTGATACCGCTTCCTATCCCTCACCTGGAGTGATACCGCTTCCTATCCCTCACCTGGAGTGATACCGCTTCCTATCCCTCACCTGGAGTGATACCGCTTCCTATCCCTCACCTGGAGTGATACCGCTTCCTATCCCTCACCTGGAGTGATACCGCTTCCTATTCCTGGAGTGATACCGCTTCCTATCCTCACCTGGAGTGATACCGCTTCCTATCCCTCACCTGGAGTGATACCGCTTCCTATCCCTCACCTGGAGTGATACCGCTTCCTATCCCTCACCTGGAGTGATACCGCTTCCTATCCCTCACCTGGAGTGATACCGCTTCCTATCCCTCACCTGGAGTGATACCGCTTCCTATCCCTCACCAGGAGTGATACCGCTTCCTATCCCTCACCAGGAGTGATACCGCTTCCTATCCCTCACCAGGAGTGATACCGCTTCCTATCCCTCACCAGGAGTGCTTCCTATCCCTCACCAGGAGTGATACCGCTTCCTATCCCTCACCTGGAGCGATAGCGCTTCCTATCCCTCACCTGGTGTGATACCGCTTCCTATCCCTCACCTGGAGTGATACCGCTTCCTATCCCTCACGTGGAGTGATAGCGCGCTTCCTATCACTCCACCTGGAGCGATAGCGCTTCCTATCCCTCACCTGGAGCGACAGCGCTTCCTATCCCTCACCTGGAGCGATAGCGCTTCCTATCCCTCACCTGGAGCGATAGCGCTTCCTATCCCTCACCTGGAGCGATAGCGCTTCCTATCCCTCACTGGAGTGATAGCGGAGTGATACCGCTTCCTATCCCTCCTGGAGTGATACCGCTTACTATCCCTCACCTGTCAGTAGTCAGGTGCCCAGCTCTGAGGTCAGATCCTTGGGGAAGAGATATCTCCAATCCCTAACCTGGAGTCATGTGTCCACCATTCAGGTCCTCACCGGGAGAGATACCACTAACTATCCCTCACCGGACATCATTCAGGTCAGATCTCTGGGGAGAACATACTACTTCCTATCCCTCACCTGCAGTCATGTGTCCACCATTCAGGTCAGATCTCTGGGAGGAGAGATGGCACTAACTATCCTTCATCTGAGTCTGGTGTCCATCATTCAGGTCAGATCTCCGGGAGGGATGGCTACTTCCTATCCCTCACCTGACATCATTCAGGTCAGATCTCTGGGGAGGACATATACTACTTCCTATCCCTCACCTGGAGTCATGTGTCCATCATCATTCAGGTCAAATCTCTGTGGAGGAGATACCATTTCCTATCTCTCACCTGTAGTCAGGTGCCCAGCTCTGAGGTCAGATCCTTGGGGAAGAGATATCTCCAATCCCTAACCTGGAGTCATGTGTCCACCATTCAGGTCAGATCTCCGGGAGGAGATACCACTAACTATCCCTCACCGGACATCATTCAGGTCAGATCTCTGGGGAGAACATACTACTTCCTATCCCTCACCTGGAGTCATGTGTCCATCATTCAGGTCAGATCTCTGGGGAGAACATACTACTTCCTATCCCTCACCTGGAGTCATGTGTCCATCATTCAGGTCAGATCTCTGTAGAGGAGATACCACTTCCTATCCCTCACCTGACATCATTCAGGTCAGATCTCCGGGGAGGAGATACCATTTCCTATCTCTCACCTGTAGTCAGGTGCCCAGCTCTGAGGTCAGATCCTTGAGGAGGAGATACCTCCATTCCTAACCTGCAGTCATGTGTCCACCATTCAGGTCAGATCTCTGTAGAGGAGATACCACTTCCTATCCCTCACCTGACATCATTCAGGTCAGATCTCCGAGAGGAGATACCACTTCGTATCCCTTCCTATCCCTCACCTGACATCATTCAGGTCAGATCTCCGGGGAGGACATCCTACTTTCTAGCCCTCACCTGGAGTCATGTGTCCATCATTCAGGTCAGATCTCTGGGGAGGAGATACCACTTCCTATCCCTCACCTGGAGTGATAGCGCTTCCTATCCCTCACCTGGAGTGATAGCGCTTCCTATCCCTCACCTGGAGTGATAGCGCTTCCTATCCCTCACCTGGAGTGATAGCGCTTCCTATCCCTCACCTGGAGTGATAGCGCTTCCTATCCCTCACCTGGAGTGATAGCGCTTCCTATCCCTCACCTGGAGTGATAGCGCTTCCTATCCCTCACCTGGAGTGATAGCGCTTCCTATCCCTCACCTGGAGTGATAGCGCTTCGTATCCCTCACCTGGAGTGATAGCGCTTCCTATCCGTCACCTGGAGTGATAGCGCTTCCTAACCCTCCCCTGGAGTGATACCGCTTCCTAACCCTCCCCTGGAGTGATACTGCTCCCTATCCCTCCCCTGGAGTGATACCGCTCCCTATCCCTCCCTGGAGTGATACCGCTCCCTATCCCTCCCCTGGAGTGATACCGCTTCCTATCCCTCCCCTGGAGTGATACCGCTTCCTATCCCTCCCCTGGAGTGATTTCGCTTCCTATCCCTCCCCTGGAGTGATTTCGCTTCCTATCCCTCCCCTGGAGTGATAGCGCTTCCTATCCCTCCCCTGGAGTGATAGCGCTTCCTATCCCTCCCCTGGAGTGATAGCGCTTCCTATCCCTCCCCTGGAGTGATAGCGCTTCCTATCCCTCCCCTGGAGTGATAGCGCTTCCTATCCCTCCCCTGGAGTGATAGCGCTTCCTATCCCTCCCCTGGAGTGATAGCGCTTCCTATCCCTCCCCTGGAGTGATAGCGCTTCCTATCCCTCCCCTGGAGCGATAGCGCTTCCTATCCCTCCCCTGGAGCGATAGCGCTTCCTATCCCTCCCCTGGAGCGATAGCGCTTCCTATCCCTCACCTGGAGTGATAGCGCTTCCTATCCTTCACCTGGAGCGATAGCGCTTCCTATCCCTCCCCTGGAGTGATTGCGCTTCCTATCCCTCACCTGGAGTGATTGCGCTTCCTATCCCTCACCTGGAGTGATACCGCTTCCTATCCCTCACCTGGAGTGATAGCGCTTCCTATCCTTCACCTGGAGTGATAGCGCTTCCTATCCCTCCCCTGGAGTGATAGCGCTTCCTATCCCTCCCCTGGAGTGTTAGCGCTTCCTAACCCTCCCCTGGGGTGATAGCGCTTCCTATCCCTCCCCTGGGGTGATACCGCTTCCTATCCCTCCCCTGGGGTGATAGCGCTTCCTATCCCTCACCTGGAGTGATACCAGGTGTCCAAGTCTGGGTCTTGGATTTCGGGGCAGAGCTTTTAAGGTCAGAACCCTTTGAGATGCGATGTGAGGAGGACGGGGGTTGTTCCCCTTGCGATGATATACTGTTATGGTAGCGCTTTGTGTTTTTTACGGTCTATCCTGCAGAGCACACTGGTCTGTGGCCTGGAAATAATTTTCCGACATCTGTTTTTTATGAAGTGTTTGCTCAGACTGTAACTTGTTCTGATACCTGTCGGCTAATTATTAGCGCTGTAATTTGAGCGCAGTATTTTACGATGGATGTTACTCACCAGCTTCCTTTGGTTGCTGAGGCAGAAGGTGCAGATCTGCTTGGGCTGGCCTGGCTCGGTGTCTCGGTGTTTGGGGCTGGTAGTGGTTGGGTGATGCTGGTAGTAGGGAGCGCTGGTGTGGCAAGGCTGGCCGTCTCCACAAGTTTCTCCCAGTAGTAATACATTTCCTAGGTGGGAGATGTAGCTCGATGCCAGGCGTAGAGTCTCTATTTTGCTCAGCTTGCGGTCTGCGGGCTCCGTGGGAATAAGCGTGCGCAGGGCTGTGAAGGCGTTGTTGACGCTGTTCGTCCTGTCCCTTTCGCGGGCGTTGGCCGTGTGGCGTTGTCGCGGTTCCCGATGCAGTCGTGAACACTTCTTGTCTCCTGTCTTGATGCCCCTGTCCATCGAGTGATGAAAAGCTTTATCGCCGCACTCTGAACTGTCGCTGCCGCTGTCATCGTCGTCGGAAAGCATACTGATGTCGGGGTATAGGAAGCGGGCAGGTGGGGCATGGCGCAGCATCGCAAAGGACATGGTGATGATGCAATGACCACCAAATATTCTTCAAGTTGCTGACCCTTTGCTGTCGCGTCGTCTCGCGTTGTCCACGTCTGTCTTCAGTGACCTTCTCATGTGACCACTATGGTGACCACTGTGGTGACCCTGGGTTGTCCCAGCCTTGTGTCAGCATCCTTGCCTAAGCGCCGTCTCTGCCTGTCCGTGTCCTCGTCTCTCACACGTGTGGAGTGCGTCTGGCGGGGCTGCAACTGTGATTGACTTTTTATAGTGACCCTTGAGAGTGAGTCTGGTCCTCCCTCAGCCGGCAGCAGACACGGGTAGGGGGGGCTCCATCGGAAGCTGGATGAAGGGGGAGGGAGTCCCCAGACGGCTGTGGGATTTAACAGCCTAGACTGGCCTGTGCTGCCTAACGAGACGCAGCCTTAACTCTTCCCCAACATCTGCATCCAGGAGGAGACTTAACGCTTGTGTATCGGGAAAGGAAATCCAGGCCACGAAGTTTCTGTTCAGCAGTCTATTCCTATATGGGGTGACTTACCAGAAACCTGCCACGGGGCCAGAGAACAGAACCTCCTCCTGCTGGGTGACCAACACATGATGCCAGGCTCTGGTCAGCCTACGGGCCATAGCCCACACTATTCTGACCCAGCCATTCTTCCGGGAACCGTGGGCATCATGGTAGACTGAGCCGTGCTGTCAGTGTCCTATATAGACAACTACAGGGCATTCGGAAAGTATTCAGACCCCCTTCACTTATTTCAGGGGTATGTTGCAGTCTGATACTACGGTTGTTTCAATGAATTTTTTTCTCATTAATCTGCACTTGGCACCCCAATAATGACAACGTGACAACAGAATTTAGAAATGTCTGAATTTAAAAAAACCTGAAATCCCAGATTGGCAGAAGTATTCAGACCCTTTACTCAGTACTTTGTTGAAGCTCCTTTTGGCACAATTCCAGCCTGGATTCTTTTTGGGGATGACGCCACAAGCTTTGCACTCTTGGATTGGGGGATTTCCTACCATTCTTTGACCAGTCAGGCTGGATGGGGGGGTCGTTGGTTTACAGCCATTTTCAGATCTCAGTAGGGTTGAAGTCAGGGCTCTGGCTGGGCCAATCCAGGACATTTACAGGGTTGTCCCAAAGCCACTCCTGTGTTGTCTTGGATGTGTGCTTAGGATGGTTGTCATGTTGGAAGGTGAACCTTCGGCCCAGTCTGAGGTCCTGACGGCTATGGAACGGGTTTTCGTTGAGGATATCTCTGTACTTTGCTCCATTCAACTTTCCCCCTCAACCTTGACCAGTTCCCCATTTCCACCCCACAGCTTGATTCTGCCACCATCATGCCTCACTGTTGAGATGGTATTGGGCAGGTGATGAGTGGTGCCTAATTTCCTCCAGACATAACATTTAGAATTCAGGCCAAACAGTTCAATCTTTGCTTCATCGGACCACAGAATCTTGTTCCCCAGAGAGTCCTTCAGGTGCTTTTTTGCGAACTCCAAGTGGTCTTTCATGTGATTTGCACTGAGGAGAGGCATCTGTCCAGCCATTCTGCCATGAAGCCCAGGTGGGTGGAGGGCTGCAGTGATGGTTGTCCTGGAACTTTGTCCCATGTCCACACAGGATCTCTGGAATTCAGTCAAAGTGACCATCAGGTTCTTGGTCACCTCTTTTTCTAAGGCCTTCTTCTCCCCCGATTTGTTTAGTTTGGCTGGGAGACCAGCTCTTGGAAGAGTCCTAGTTGTGCCAAACTTCTTCCATTTGAGAATTATGGAGGCCACTGTACTCTTGGAAACCTTCAGTGCAGCACACAATTTTTTTGGTCGCCCTCTCCAGATCTGTGCCTTGCAATAATCCTGTCTCTGAGCTCTGCAGGCATTTCGTTTTGACCTCGTGGCTTTTGCTCTGAAACAGTATGCATTGTCACTGTGAGGCCTTTTATAGAGAGGCGTGTGCCTTTCCAAATAATGTCCAATCAATGTAATTTACCACAGGTGGCCTCCAATCACGGTGTAGAAACATCTCAGCAACCATCGAGAAATGGGAGTTGCCTGAGTGAAATTTCAAGTGTTGTTGCAAAGGGTCTGAATACTTATACCAATGTGAGATTTCAGTTGCTCCTTTTTCATACATTTGCAAACGTTTCTAAATTTCTGCTTTCACGTTGTCATTCTGGGGTGCTGAGTGTAGGTTCATGGGAAAAAAATAGAAGTTAAACATCTGTAGTATCAGGCTGCAACATAACATTGAAAACCGTGGAGGGGGTCTGAATACTTTCGGAAAGCATTGTATGAGGACTTTGCTCAGAGGAGATTTCCATGGGTCTGTTCTGGATCTGAGACGTGCGGTTCCACCAGGACGATGGACCATTTAAATGCTTAATAGTAATGCGCTGGAGGTTCCTGCACCATATACTCCATTATTGGTTGACCAGTCATGATCTGACCAGGTAACTGTAGGCCTTCAGTGATGGTGGGCCCCTCTATGGCTGTGGGCACGTCTATAGTACTGCTAGAGGATCTCCCCCTACATGCCATTATCTCTTCATACAATCAGAAATAAAATGTGTCATGACTTTCCTATAATAACATCACTTACCAGGCTGGAGTCAGAGCCAGGCCGCACAAGGTGGCTTCTAGTTGACTTGGCAGAGAACAGAACACGTGTTCACTGCTTCCTAAAACTGCTCGCTGGCTCCTAGATTGGACTTGACTGGCTATTAAACTCTACGTTCTATTCCTCGTATCTCTGGTATCTGTGTCGATGCACTCAGTTCGGGCTCTTCTCTCCGGCAGGACATCCGGAACACAGTGGGGAACATCCCTATGGAGTGGTACAAGGATTTCCCGCACATCGGTTATGACCTGGATGGCAAGAAGATTTTCAAGCCTCTGCAGACGAAGGACCAGCTGGAGGAATTCCTAGACAAGATGGAGAATCCCGATTATTGGTGAGTGTGTGGGGCCTCTTAGAAATCTGGGAACTGTTTGTTTGATATTGTGAGGAAAAGTCTGACCCCGAAGAGTCTCCCCGAAGAGTCTGACCCAGACATTCCAGTGACTGATTGGAGAACATATATAATACATGAAGAGGGATAATGTACAAATTCAATGCTGATTGAGTCCTACAGTAACTGTACGTAGGATCCCAGTGCTGCAAGGCCACCGTGCTGCTCTCTCATCGTGAAGTGACCATTGTCAGCTATTTCCTTCCATCTCTGGGTGGGAAGCTCTGTGATTTGATGATGGGTTGCCATAGTGTCTCCATTGTGCCGGTTTATGTATACAAAGTGCCATGACTCTTCATAAACACAATGTCCATCTTTCTCCAGGAGAACCGTTCATGATAAGAAGACCGGACAGGACATTAAGCTGACTGATGAGCAGGTGGACCTAGTGGAACGGCTTCAACATGGACAGTTTGGGGACACCAAGTATGATCCTTATGAGGTGAGTGCAGTGAAAGCTGCATGTTGGGTGGACATCGCTTGGTGGATTCATGAACCTCCCTGACCCTTCATTCTCCCCTCTCTCCTCAGCCATATGTGGATTTCTTCACACATGAGACCATGATCCATCCTGTGACCAACCGGCCAGCAGACAAACGCAGCTTCATCCCATCCCTGATCGAGAAGGAGAAGGTAAGTGGATGACCTCCCACCTGAGCCATTTCCATGAAAGAAGGTGGTTGGTCTCACCTCATTTCTGGGTACCCATCTTTTGGTGTCTTTGTCTCTCCATCTCTGTGTGTCTTGGGGTGTCCATCCCTTGGTGTCCCTCTGTCTCTTGATGTCTCTCTCTTCCTCTTGGTGTCTCTCCTTCTCTTGGTGTCACTCTTCCTGTTGGTGTCTCTTGGTCTCTCGGTGTCTCTTGGTCTCTCGGTGTCTCTTGGTCTCTCTGTGTCTCTTCGTCTCTTGGTGTCTCTCAGTGTCTCTTCGTCTCTTGGTGTCTCTCTGTCTCTTTGTCTCTCGGTGTCTCTTCGTCTCTTGGTGTCTCTCTCCGTCTCTCTGTGTCTGTCCGTCTCTCGGTGTCTCTCCGTCTCTGGGTGTCTCTCCGCTTCTGGGTGTCTCTCCGCTTCTGGGTGTCTCTCCGCCTCTCGGTGTCTCTCCGCCTCTGGGTGTCTCTCCGCCTCTGGGTGTCTCTCTCTGGGTGTCTCCGCCTCTGGGTGTCTCTCTCCGCCTCTGGGTGTCTCTCCGCCTCTCGGTGTCTCTCGGTGTCTCCCGGTCTCTCGTGTCTTTCCGTGTCTCTCGGTGTCTTTCCGTGTCTCTCGGTGTCTTTCCGTGTCTCTCCGTCTCTCGGTGTGTGTCTCTCCGTCTCTCGGTCTCTCTGTCTCTCTCTCGGTCTCTCTGTGTCTCTCGGTCTCTCTGTGTCTCTCGGTCTCTCTGTGTCTCTCGGTCTCTCTCCGTCTCTCGGTGTCTCTCCGTCTCTCTCGGTGTCTCTCCGTCTCTCGGTGTCTCTCGGTGTCTCTCCGTCTCTCTCGTGTCTCTCCGTCTCTCGGTCTCTCGGTGTCTCTCCGTCTCTCGGTGTCTCTCCGTCTCTCGTCTCTCTCTCTCTCCGTCTCTCGGTGTCTCTCCGTCTCTCGGTGTCTCTGGGTGTCTCTCCGTCTCTGGGTGTCTCTCCACCTCTGGGTGTCTCTCCGCCTCTGGGTGTCTCTCCGCCTCTGGGTGTCTCTCCGCCTCTGGGTGTCTTTCCGTGTCTCTGGGTGTCTTTCCGTGTCTCTCGGTGTCTTTCCGTGTCTCTCGGTGTCTTTCCGTGTCTCTCGGTGTCTTTCCGTCTCTCTCTCTGTGTCTCTCCGTCTCTCGTTGTCTCTATGTCTGTGTCTCTCCGTCTCTCGGTGTCTCTGTGTCTCTCCGTCTCTCGGTGTCTCTATGTCTGTCTCTGCACGCTCACTCCTCTTTCCGTGTCTCTTTCCGGTGTCTCGGTTTCCGTGTCTCTCCGTCTCTCGGTGTCTCTCGGTGTCTCTCTCCGTCTCTCGTTGTCTCTGTGTCTCTCCGTCTCTCGGTGTCTCTGTGTCTCTCCGTCTCTCGGTGTCTCTGTGTCTCTCCGTCTCTCGGTGTCTCTATGTCTGTCTCTGCACGCTCACAATCCTCTTTCCACGTCTCCAGGTCTCCAAGTTGGTCCACGCCATAAAGATGGGCTGGATTCGGCCACGGAAGCCACGTGATGACACTCCCGCTTACTATGATCTGTGGGCACAGGAAGATCCTAATGCCATCCTGGGGAGGCACAAGATGCATGTTCCGGCTCCGAAGCTGCTTCTTCCTGGCCATGAAGAGTCCTATAACCCCCCACCGGAGTACCTGATGACTGAGGAGGAGGTGAGCCTATAGCCGAGTGTATGATGAGGACCAAGTATGACCGCCTTGTCCATCGTCTTCAGTGTAATAAAGGGAATCCCCGGCCAGGTTTAGGATGGATTATGGAAGAGAGAACCTTTTATTACTCTTCCCTTTCCCCATCGGGGGAGGGGGGGGGGGGGGTTCTTCTCACATCTTTCCCAAACAGAGAAGAAGGGGGAAACCTCATATTCTAGGAAGAGGTGTCCCCGTCTCAAGTAATATCCCCCAGCATTGGTGTCAGTGGAAGCAGTAATAACCCCCAGCATTGGTGTCAGTGGAAGCAGTAATAACCCCCCCAGCATTGGTGTCAGTGGAAGCAGTAATATCCCCCAGCATTGGTGTCAGTGGAAGCAGTAATATCCCCCAGCATTGGTGTCAGTGGAAGCAGTAATAACCCCCAGCATTGGTGTCAGTGGAAGCAGTAATAACCCCCAGCATTGTTGTCAGTGGAAGCAGTAATATCCCCCAGCATTGGTGTCAGTGGAAGCAATAATAACCCCCAGCATTGGTGTCAGTGGAAGCAGTAATAACCCCCAGCATTGGTGTCAGTGGAAGCAGTAATAACCCCCAGCATTGTTGTCAGTGGAAGCAGTAATAACCCCCAGCATTGGTGTCAGTGGAAGCAGTAATATCCCCCAGCATTTGGTGTCAGTGGAAGCAGTAATATCCCCCAGCATTGGTGTCAGTGGAAGCAGTAGCAATAATAACCCCCAGCATTGGTGTCAGTGGAAGCAGTAATAACCCCCAGCATTGGTGTCAGTGGAAGCAGTAATAACCCCCAGCATTGTTGTCAGTGGAAGCAGTAATAACCCCCAGCATTGGTGTCAGTGGAAGCAATAACCCCCAGCATTGGTGTCAGTGGAAGCAGTAATAACCCCCAGCATTGGTGTCAGTGGAAGCAGTAATATAACCCCCAGCATTGGTGTCAGTGGAAGCAGTAATAACCCCCAGCATTGGTGTCAGTGGAAGCAGTAATAACCCCCAGCATTGTGTCAGTGGAAGCAGTAATAACCCCCAGCATTGGTGTCAGTGGAAGCAGTAATAACCCCCAGCATTGGTGTCAGTGGAAGCAGTAATAACCCCCAGCATTGGTGTCAGTGGAAGCAGTAATAACCCCCAGCATTGGTGTCAGTGAGTACAATAATAACCATGCGAGAGTGTTCCAGTACCCTCTGTCTCTATGGTGCCCAATAGCCTGCAGGCCACATGTAGAGGGAAGGCGGCCTTGTGTTGGGCACCAGGGGTGTAGAAGCTTTGTGGGCGCAGTGTACAGGGATTGGAGGTTCTGATTGGTCTGGATTTATATAAATGTTCCCCCTTCTTTTTCCTCCCCCAGAAACTGGCCTGGGAACAGCAGGACCCTGAAGACAGGAAGTTGCCGTTCCTACCCAAGCATCATGGCAGCCTGCGCGCTGTGCCGCCTCCGCCTACTCCCGCTTCATCCACGAGCGGTTTGAGCGCTGCCTGGATCTGTACCTGTGTCCTCGGCAGAGAAAGATGAGGGTAGGTGGACGCCGGTGAGACGATCTTCTGAGGAGATTGAGCCTCCCTTCTCTGAAATCTCATTCTTCTCATCCGCAGGTGAATGTGGATCCCGAGGATCTGATCCCCAAACTCCCCCGACCTCGAGACCTGCAACCGTTCCCCACCACACAGTCCATGGTAAGAGCCGCTGCACTACCCGATGGTCTTGTTACCAGTCACAGTCCATCACATGGATTCTTCCTTTCCTGGACTGTACTAGGAACAAGATATCAGAAATCTGGTCTTCTGGAGCCCCCCACCCACCTCAGACTCCGCCTCCATGTGGTACCCAGAGCCCCAGCTTCTCCCATGTGTCTCCTAGACCCATCCTCCTGCCATGGATCCTCTGGAGTCCCCCACCCACCTCAGACTCCGCCTCCATGTGGTACCCAGAGCCCCAGCTTCTCCCATGTGTCTCCTAGACCCATCCTCCTGCCATGGATCCTCTGGAGTCCCCCACCCACCTCAGACTCCGCCTCCACGTGTTACCCAGAGCCCCAGCTTCTCCCATGTGTCTCCTAGACCCATCCTCCTGCCATGGATCCTCTGGAGTCCCCCACCCACCTCAGACTCCGCCTCCACGTGTTACCCAGAGCCTCAGCTTCTCCCATGCGTCTCCTAGACCCATCCTCCTTCCATGGATCCTCTGGAGTCCCCCACCCACCTCAGACTCCGCCTCCATGTGTTACCCAGAGCCCCAGCTTCTCCCATGTGTCTCCTAGACCCATCCTCCTGCCATGGATCCTCTGGAGTCCCCCACCCACCTCAGACTCCGCCTCCATGTGTTACCCAGAGCCCCAGCTTCTACGATGTGTCTCCTAGACCCATCCTCCTGCCATGGATCCTCTGGAGCCCCCCACCCACCTCAGACGTGTTACCCAGAGCCCCAGCTTCTCCCATGTGTCTCCTAGACCCATCCTCCTGCCATGGATCCTCTGGAATCCCCCTCCCAGCTCATACTCCGCCTCCACGTGGTACCCAGAGCCCCAGCTTCTCCCATGTGTCTCCTAGATCCATCCTCCTGCCATGGATCCTCTGGAGTCCTCCCCAGCTACCCCTCCTGGTATCTCTGGAAGCCCCTAGACCCCCTCTCTGTGGGTGTTTGCTAACCTCTTGGCTGTCTCTTGGGTTCCTTGCAGGCTTCCCTTCCTTGAGCCCCCCCTTTCTACTCTGTATGTGGGACTTTCATGGTCCTCTGTGGGTCTCCTGGAGCTCCCACTCCATGGATCTTCTGTGGTCATCCATGGGTCTCCCATAGCCCTTCCCTCCTTGACACTCCCCCTCTGTAGGTCTTCTGGAACCCGCCTCCCCCCAGCTGTATGGAAGCCCCTCAGCTCCATGCATCTTCCAGAGTCCTCGCCTCCCTTCCATAGGTCCCCCAGAGCCCCTTGCCCTCTATTGGTCTCTTGGAGCCCACCAGCTCCGCCTCCAGTCACACCGTCTGTCTTTCCTCAGGTGTACCGCGGACACACGGATCTGGTACGCTGCATCGGTGTCTCCCCCTCTGGGCAGTGGATTGTCTCAGGTATGTGAGCTGTTTGGCTGTAGTACAGACGCCCCCCCCCAGGTCATATCATGTGATCCACTGTATACAATTACCTCCCCCCTCTCCCTCCAGGGTCTGATGACTGCACCCTCAGGTTCTGGGAGGTCAGTACCGGACGCTGCATGAAAACCATCCGCCTGGACGGGGCCATCAAGAGCGTCAGCTGGAACCCGAACGCCACATTGATCCTGGTGGCTGCATGTGTGTGAGTGACTCTTTGGGGCCCTTTATGTGGATTTGGCTCCTAGATGGGGCAGGTTCACCCGGCCTGCCTCACACAGTACTATGGTGATGACTGTCCCTGGATGGGTCCTGATTGGCTGAAGTGTGATGGTAGCATGGAGTCCCCTCCCCTTCTCCCCTCCTATCGGCACGCAGTGAGCCTTTTTCAATAAGAAATTCTCCTTTGCAAAGTATATCTCTCTGTGGACTCGATGACATTATCACTGGGTCTCTCTGCCAGTCTCTGCTTTCAGAAAGATCGCGGTTTGCTGGGAGGGACAAGGCAACGGTAGCTTTGAGCCCTAAGTGTGATGTGAAAGAACACATCCCCGGCATCCCTTTAGACATGTCTGCACCTTTCTTTAGACGTTCACTCACCTTCCTGCTGGCCATGGGGCTGTGCAGAATTTAGCTGTGCAATCTGCTGGCCAGTTGCTTGATTACACGCTAACAGAGTGATCAGCAGATTGCACAGCTAACGTCTTCAGCAGCCTGAGGCCAGCAGGGAATAGTATGCATGTGTAAAGGGATATCAAGGATGTGTTTTCCATATAATGCTTGGAAGACCGGGAGGGGGAGGGGGAGGGCAGATTGACAGAAGAGTCAAAAAAATAGTTGTAAGTGGTGGCAAGAGAGACAGAAAAGATTGGGAGTTGAGGGCTTGATGATGCTTGACGTCTTCCAGGCTGGAAATTAGTTTGGCTTAACATATCAGCAGCTATTCTAATGGTTGTGTTGTAGAGATGGCCGTGTGCGGGGGAAGGTATGGACTGCAGGGTGAGGGAGGAGTTCATCCGTGACCCAAAACTTCTGTCTCCTCCTACAGAGAGCGCTCTGTCATCATTGTGAACCCGGGACTTGGAGACCGCCTACTCTGCAATTCTACAGATCAGCATGTGGGGGCGCACCAACCCCCCGAGGAGGAGAAGCCACAGCCAGTGAAGTGGGAGGCAGTGGAGGGAGCGCAGTATGAAGAGGGAGTCCGCCTACGTATCCAGCATGAGAAGGTACCCCCCCCCCCCCCCGATCACCCGATACCCCCCCCCCCCCCCCGATCACCCGATACACCCCCCCCCCCCGATCGCCCAATACACCCCCCGAGAAACAGCCGCACACCCTCTCTCCTCCGTATCCACCATGAGAAGGTACCCCCCCTGATACCCCGATCACCCGATACACCCCCCCCCCGATCGCCCAATACACCCCCCCCCCCCCGATCGCCCAATACACCCCCGAGAACAGCCGCACCCTTCTCTCCTCCGTATCCAGCATGAGAAGGTACTCCCCCCGATCACCCGATACACCAATACCCCCCCCCCCCCGATCGCCCAATACACCCCCCGAGAACAGCCGCACCCTTCTCTCCTCCGTATCCACCATGAGAAGGTACCCCCCCCCGATACCCCGATCGATACCCGATACACCCCCCCCAGGTATCCCAAGGTAACCCCCCCCCCCCCCCCCCGATACCCCCCCCCCCCCACACCCGATCACCCAATACACCCCCCGAGAACAGCCGCACCCTTCTCTCCTCTGTATCCAGCATGAGAAGGTACCCCCCCCCCCTCCCCCCGATCACCCGATACCCCCCCCCCCCCCCCCCGATCGCCCAATACACCCCCCGAGAACAGCCGCACCCTTCTCTCCTCCGTATCCACCATGAGAAGGTTACCCCCCCCCCCCCCCCGATACCCCCCTTCACCCACCCCCCCCCCCCCCCCCCCCCCCCCCCCCCCCCCCCCCCCCCCCCCCCCCCCCCCGAGAGCAGCCGCACCCTTCTCTCCTCCATATCCACCATGAGAAGGTACCCCCCCGATACCCCGATCACCCGATACACCCCCCCCCCCCCGATCACCCAATACATCCCCCCCCCCCGAGAACAGCCGCACCCTTCTCTCCGTATCCAGCATGAGAAGGTAAAATACCCCCCCCCCCCCGATCACCCAATACACCCCCCCAGAACAGCCACACCCTTCTCTCCTCCGTATCCAGCATTGGAAGGTAAAATACCCCCCAATCACCAATGGAGGAGATGTCCCCCTCTGTTACCCGCCAGTACTGGTAATGGAGGAGATGTCCCTCTCTGTTACCCGCCAGTACTGGTAATGGAGGGGATGTCCCCCTGTTACCCGCCAGTACTGGTAATGGAGGAGATGTCCCCCTCTGTTACCCGCCAGTACTGGTAATGGAGGAGATGTCCCTCTCTGTTACCCGCCAGTACTGGTAATGGAGGAGATGTCCCTCTCTGTTACCCGCCAGTACTGGTAATGGAGGAGAGATGTCCCTCTCTGTTACCCGCCAGTACTGGTAATGGAGGAGATGTCCCTCTCTGTTACTCCCCGCCCAGTACTGGTAATGGAGGAGATGTCCCTCTCTGTTACCCGCCAGTACTGGTAATGGAGGAGATGTCCCTCTCTGTTACCCGCCAGTACTGGTAATGGAGGAGATGTCCCTCTCTGTTACCCGCCAGTACTGGTAATGGAGGAGATGTCCCTCTCTGTTACCCGCCAGTACTGGTAATGGAGGAGATGTCCCTCTCTGTTACCCGCCAGTACTGGTAATGGAGGAGATGTCCCTCTCTGTTACCCGCCAGTACTGGTAATGGAGGAGATGTCCCTCTCTGTTACCCGCCAGTACTGGTAATGGAGGAGATGTCCCCCTCTGTTACCCGCCAGTACTGGTAATGGAGGAGATGTCCCTCTCTGTTACCCGCCAGTACTGGTAATGGAGGAGATGTCCCTCTCTGTTACCCGCCAGTACTGGTAATGGAGGAGATGTCCCCCTCTCTGTTACCCGCCAGTACTGGTAATGGAGGAGATGTCCCTCTCTGTTTACCCGCCAGTTAGTAAGTAATGGAGGAGATGTCCCCTCTGTTACCCGCCAGTACTGGTAATGGAGGAGATGTCCCCCTCTCTGTTACCCGCCAGTACTGGTAATGGAGGAGATGTCCCTCTCTGTTACCCCGCCAGTACTGGTAATGGAGGAGATGTCCCTCTCTGTTACCCGCCAGTACTGGTAATGGAGGAGATGTCCCTCTCTGTTACCCGCCAGTACTGGTAATGGAGGAGATGTCCCTCTCTGTTACCCGCCAGTAATGGTAATGGAGGAGATGTCCCCCTCTCTGTTACCCGCCAGTACTGGTAATGGAGGAGAGATGTCCCTCTCTGTTACCCGCCAGTACTGGTAATGGAGGAGATGTCCCTCTCTGTTACCCGCCAGTACTGGTAATGGAGGAGATGTCCCCCTCTGTTACCCGCCAGTACTGGTAATGGAGGAGATGTCCCTTTCTGTTACCCGCCAGTACTGGTAATGGAGGGGATGTCCCCTCTCTGTTACCCGCCAGTACTGGTAATGGAGGAGATGTCCCTTTCTGTTACCCGCCAGTACTGGTAATGGAGGAGATGTCCCCCTCTGTTACCCGCCAGTACTGGTAATGGAGGGGATGTCCCTCTCTGTTACCCGCCAGTACTGGTAATGGAGGGGATGTCCCTTTCTGTTACCCGCCAGTAGTAGTAATGGAGGAAGTTGCTCTCTGGATCCCAGTAAGTCTGTTTTTCGGCATTGCAGGCGGTGAAGCAGGTGACGTGGCACGGTCGGGGGGATTACTTCGCGGTTGTCATCCCGGATAACGGGAACTCGCAGGTTCTCATACACCAGCTGAGCCGGAGGCGGAGCCAGAACCCGTTCCGGAAGAACAAGGGGCAGGTCCAGCGGGTTCTCTTTCACCCGGCCCGCCCCTTCTTCTTCGTCGCCACCCAGAGGTGTGTCCGCGTCTACAATCTGCTGAAACAGGAACTCGCCAAGAAACTGATGGCCAACTGCAAGTGGGTGTCCAGCATCGCCGTCCACCCTGCGGGTGAGTCCGGGGGAGGGGCTGTTGTACACCTCATGGGGGAGTCCGGGGGAGGGGCTATTGTACACCCTGGGGGAGGGCTATTGTACACCCTGGGGGAGGGCTATTGTACACCCCGCGGGGGAGGGGCTATTATACACCCCGCGGGTGAGTCCAGGGGAGGGGCTATTGTACACCCTGCGGGGGGGTCCGGGGGAGGGGGGGTTATTGTACACCCCGCGGGTGAGTCCGGGGGAGGGGCTATTGTACACCCTGCGGGGGAGGGGCTATTGTACACCCCGCGGGGGAGTCCGGGGGAGGGGCTATTGTACACCCCGCGGGGGAGTGGCTATTGTACACCCCGCGGGGGAGTCCGGGGGAGGGGCTATTGTACACCCCGCGGGGGAGGGGCTATTGTACACCCAGCGGGGCAGTCCGGGGGAGGGGCTGTTGTACACCCCGCGGGGGAGGGGCTATTGTACACCCCGCGGGGGAGGGGCTATTGTACACCCCGCGGGGGAGGGGCTATTGTACACCCCGGGGGGGAGGGGCTATTGTACACCCGCGGGGGAGGGGCTATTGTACACCCCGCGGGGGAGGGGCTATTGTACACCCCGCGGGGGAGGGGCTATTGTACACCCCGCGGGGGAGTCTGGGGGAGGGGCTATTGTACACCCCGCGGGGGAGTCTGGGGGAGGGGCTATTGTACACCCCGCGGGGGAGTCCGGGGGAGGGGCTATTGAACACTGCGCGGGGGAGTCCGGGGGAGGGGCTATTGTACACCCTGCGGGGGAGGGGCTATTGTACACCCTGCAGGGGAGTCCGGGGGAGGGGCTATTGTACACCCTGCAGGGGAGTCCGGGGGAGGGGCTATTGTACACCCCGCGGGGAAGTCTGGGGGAGGGGTTATTGTACACCGTCCGGGGGGGAGGGAACATGTGAGGGGTGACTGTGGGGGATGGGAGCAGGATTGCTGTACCTCCCAGATTTTGGGGTCCTGCGGGGCGACTGTACATGAAATGTTTGCCCCTCCCCCTCTCATCGATTCCCTGCGGGACTTCACACACAACATGTACATGGGGGGGGATGGGGGGTCTCTGCAGGACTGGAGGGGCCCCGGTGTGGTGGGGGACCTTCTAATGCCGTCTGTTCTGTTGTCTTCAGGTGACAACCTGATCTGTGGGAGTTATGACTCCAAGCTGGCGTGGTTCGATATGGACCTGTCCACCAAACCCTACAAAGTGCTGAGGTGAGACCCCTCCCACCTGACTCCTCCTACTCTCTGCTTCTCCTACCTGACTCCGCCTACTCTCTGCTCCTCCCTTCCTACCTGACTCCGCCTACTCTCTGCTCCTCCCCTCCTACCTGACTCTCTGCCCCTGTGCTGTGCTCCTACTTGACTCCGCCTACTGTCTGCCCCTGTGCTCCTCCTACCTGACTCCGCCTACTCTCTGCCCCTGTGCTCCTCCTACCTGACTCCGCCTACTCTCTGCTCCTGTGCTGTGCTCCTACCTGACTCCGCCTACTCTGCTCCTGTGCTCCTCCTACCTGACTGCGCCTACGATCTGCTCCTGTGCTTCACCCTTCCTACCTGACTCCGCCTACTCTCTGCCCCTGTGCTCCTCCTACCTGACTCCGCCTACTCTCTGCTCCTGTGCTGTGCTCCTACCTGACTCCGCCTACTCTGCTCTGTGCTCCTCCCTTCCTACCTGACTCTGTCTACTCTGCTCCTCCCCTCCATTCCCTCTCCGCTTGTGATGGTGTTTCTGTGTCATGATGGCGGTGATTGGATTTGTGTATGTGTGGAGGTGATGATGAAGATGATGATGATATTTGTGTCCATGTCTGGTGGTGAGGAGGAGGATGATGATGGTATTTGTGTCCATGTCTGGTGGTGAGGAGGAGGAGGAGGATGATGATAATATTTGTGTCCATGTCTGGTGGTGGTGAGGAGGAGGATGATGATAATATTTGTGTCCATGTCTGGTGGTGAGGAGGGAGGATGATGATGATATTTGTGTCCATGTCTGGTGGTGAGGAGGAGGAGGATGATGATGATGATATTTGTGTCCATGTCTGGTGGTGAGGAGGAGGATGATGATGATGATATTTGTGTCCATGTCTGGTGGTGGTGAGGAGGATGATGATGATGATATTTGTGTCCATGTCTGGTGGTGAGGATGATGATGATGATATTTGTGTCCATGTCTGGTGGTGGTGAGGAGGATGATGATGATATTTGTGTCCATGTCTGGTGGTGAGGAGGAGGAGGAGGATGATGATGATAATATTTGTGTCCATGTCTGGTGGTGAGGAGGAGGAGGAGGATGATGATGATATTTGTGTCCATGTCTGGTGGTGAGGAGGAGGAGGATGATGATGATATTTGTGTCCATGTCTGGTGGTGAGGAAGAGGAGGATGATGATGATATTTGTGTCCATGTCTGGTGGTGAGGAGGAGGAGGATGATGATATTTGTGTCCATGTCTGGTGGTGAGGAGGATGATGATGATATTTGTGTCCATGTCTGGTGGTGGGAGGAGGAGGAGGATGATGATGATATTTGTGTCCATGTCTGGTGGTGGTGTGAGGAGGAGGATGATGATGATATTTGTGTCCATGTCTGGTGGTGAGGAGGATGATGATGATATTTGTGTCCATGTCTGGTGGTGGTGAGGAGGAGGAGGATGATGATGATATTTGTGTCCATGTCTGGTGGTGGTGAATATGATGATGATGATATTTGTGTCCATGTCTGGTGGTGAGGAGGAGGAGGAGGATGATGATGATGATATTTGTGTCCATGTCTGGTGGTGGTGAGGAGGATGATGATGATATTTGTGTCCATGTCTGGTGGTGGTGAAGATGATGATGATATTTGTGTCCATGTCTGGTGGTGGTGAGGAGGATGATGATGATGATATTTGTGTCCATGTCTGGTGGTGAGATGATGATGATGATGATGATGATGATATTTGTGTCCATGTCTGGTGGTGGTGGTGAAGATGATGATGATGATATTTGTGTCCATGTCTGGTGGTGAGGAGGAGGAGGATGATGATGATATTTGTGTCCATGTCTGGTGGTGAGGAGGAGGAGGATGATGATGATATTTGTGTCCATGTCTGGTGGTGGTGAAGATGATGATGATATTTGTGTCCATGTCTGGTGGTGAAGATGATGATGATGATGATATTTGTGTCCATGTCTGGTGGTGGTGGTGAAGATGATGATGATATTTGTGTCCATGTCTGGTGGTGAGGAGGAGGAGGAGGATGATGATGATATTTGTGTCCATGTCTGGTGGTGAGGAGGAGGAGGAGGATGATGATGATATTTGTGTCCATGTCTGGTGGTGGTGAAGATGATGATGATGATATTTGTGTCCGTGTCTGGTGGTGAAGATGATGATGATGATGATATTTGTCCATGTCTGGTGGTGAGGAGGAGGATGATGATGATATTTGTGTCCATGTGTGGTGGTGGTGAAGATGATGATGATATTTGTGTCCATGTCTGGTGGTGGTGAGGATGATGATGATGATATTTGTGTCCATGTCTGGTGGTGGTGAGGATGATGATGATATTTGTGTCCATGTCTGGTGGTGGTGAAGATGATGATGATGATATTTGTGTCCGTGTTGGTGGTGGTGAAGATGATGATGATGATGATATTTGTGTCCATGTCTGGTGGTGGTGAAGATGATGATGATGATGATGATGATGATGATGATATTTGTGTCCATGTCTGGTGGTGAAGATGATGATGATGATATTTGTGTCCATGTCTGGTGGTGATGATGATGGTATTTGTGTCCATGTCTGGTGGTGGTGAGGAGGAGGAGGATGATGATGGTATTTGTGTCCATGTCTGGTGGTGGTGAGGAGGAGGAGGATGATGATGATGATGATATTTGTGTCCATGTCTGGTGGTGGTGGTGAATATGATGATGATGATGATATTTGTGTCCATGTCTGGTGGTGATGATGATGGTATTTGTGTCCATGTCTGGTGGTGGTGAGGAGGAGGAGGAGGATGATGATGATGATATTTGTGTCCATGTCTGGTGGTGGTGAAGATGATGATGATGATATTTGTGTCCGTGGTCTTGCAGGCACCACAAGAAGGCCCTGCGGTCGGTGGCATTCCATAGGCAGTACCCGCTGTTTGCCTCGGGTTCAGACGATGGCAGCGTTATAGTTTGCCATGGAATGGTCTACAAGTAAGTGACTGGTCTGTGCACACGCTCTGCACATGTATGTAGTATGTTCCTCTGACACGTTCCTCTGTGCCTGCAGTGATCTCCTCCAGAATCCTCTGATTGTGCCGGTGAAGGTTCTGCGTGGACATGAGATCACGCGTGATCTGGGCGTTTTGGATGTGGTCTTTCACCCAACCCAGCCCTGGGTCTTCTCATCAGGAGCTGACGCCACCATCAGGCTGTTCACGTAATTCCACCCTCCGCCGAGCCGTCCCTTGGAGCACGAGGACCATTCAGCGATGGCGGACAGAGCCGCTCGGGAACCTGGAGGACAGTGTGATGGACTACACCCTCTGGTGGAAGCATGCTGGGACTTGTGGTTCTACATTCGCTATGAGGGCCCTGAGCAGTGCCTTGTATATATGATGTCTGTCTGAGGCCTCAGATTTTATAATAAAGCCAATGGTGTGTCTGAGCTAAGCGACCTGTGATGGGAGGGGGGCCCCAACGTGGCTGTAGGGATCCTCGTCTGTTGGTGATGGGAGGGGGGGCCCCAACGTGGCTGTAGGGATCCTCGTCTGTTGGTGATGGGAGGGGGGGCCCCAACGTGGCTGTAGGGATCCCTCGTCTGTTGGTGATGGGAGGGGGGCCCTCAACGTGGCTGTAGGGATCCTCGTCTGTTGGTGATGGGAGGGGGGGGCCCCAACGTGGCTGTAGGGATCCTCGTCTGTTGGGGTGATGGGAGGGGGGGCCCCAACGTGGCTGTAGGGATCCTCGTCTGTTGGTGATGGGAGGGGGGCCCCAACGTGGCTGTAGGGGCCCTCGTCTGTTGGTGATGGGAGGGGGGCCCCAACGTAGGGGTCCTCGTCTGTCAGTGAGGGATCCTCGTCTGTCGGTGATGGGAGGGGGGGCCCCAACGTGGCTGTAGGGATCCTCGTCTGTTTGGTGATGGGAGGGGGGGCCCCAACGTGGCTGTAGGGGTCCTCGTCTGTCAGTGATGGGAGGGGGGCCCCAACGTGGCTGTAGGGGGTCCTCGTCTGTCGGTGATGGGAGGGGGGGGGCCTTAATGTGGCTGTAGGGGTCTTTGTGGGTGATGGGAGGGGGGCCCCAACGTGGCTGTAGGGATCCTCGTCTGTTGGTGATGGGAGGGGGGGCCCCAACGTGGCTGTAGGGGTCCTCGTCTGTAGTGATGGGAGGGGGGGGGCCTTAATGTGGCTGTAGGGGTCTTTGTTGGTGATGGGAGGGGGGCCCCAACGTGGCTGTAGGGGTCCTTTTCTGTCAGTAATGGGAGGGGGGGGGCCCTAATGTGGCTGTAGGGGTCTTTGTCGGTGATGGGAGGGGGGCCTTTGATATTTCTGTGGGAGTCCTTGTCTGTTGGTGATATGGGAGGGGCCCCTGATGTGGTGGGGGGCACTACTGACTGCACTCTGGAATAAACATTCCCATTCTGATTCATTGCTTTAAGTTACAGATGTATATGAAGCCAGGGGCCAGGACTTCACTGACTGCATGCTTGCTCAGAGTACATGACTGAGGAAGTACTGAAGCCAGCGACAGCCAGGCACCCGGCATTCTCAGCAGGTCAGCAGTATTAGGAGACATTGGAGCATTGCTTGTGTTGGGTTCCAGTTCTACCCGGAAGACCGTCTGTATTCTCATGAGGCCGGGGGCCCACCCACCGTCTGTATTCTCATGAGGCCGGGGGCCCACCCACCGTCTGTATTCTCATGAGGCCGGGGGCCCACCCACCGTCTGTATTCTCATGAGGCCGGGGGCCCACCCACCGTCTGTATTCTCATGAGGCCGGGGGCCCACCCACCGTCTGTATTCTCATGAGGCCGGGGGCCCACCCACCGTCTGTATTCTCATGAGGCCGGGGGCCCACCCACCGTCTGTATTCTCATGAGGCCGGGGGCCCACCCACCGTCTGTATTCTCATGAGGCCGGGGGCCCACCCACCGTCTGTATTCTCATGAGGCCGGGGGCCCACCCACCGTCTGTATTCTCATGAGGCCGGGGGCCCACCCACCGTCTGTATTCTCATGAGGCCGGGGGCCCACCCACCGTCTGTATTCTCATGAGGCCGGGGGCCCACCCACCGTCTGTATTCTCATGAGGCCGGGGCCCACCCACCGTCTGTATTCTCATGAGGCCGGGGGCCCACCTCTGTATTCTCATGAGGCCGGGGGCCCACCCACCGTCTGTATTCTCATGAGGCCGGGGGCCCACCCACCGTCTGTATTCTCATGAGGCCGGGGGCCCACCCACCGTCTGTATTCTCATGAGGCCGGGGGCCCACCCACCGTCTGTATTCTCATGAGGCCGGGGGCCCACCCACCGTCTGTATTCTCATGAGGCCGGGGGCCCACCCACCGTCTGTATTCTCATGAGGCCGGGGCCCTAGTCTGAAATCACATTTGTACTAGAACGAGTCTTCAGCCAGTGCCTGCGGGGTGAAGAATCCTCATAAAGTGAACAAAAAAATCTCCTTTTACCTCTTCAACTGAGCCAAGTCCTCCATCATTGGTGTTCCCCCTCCCAGCCACTGCAGCTCACAGGTTTAGGGTTGTTTAGGCAGAAATCAGTGGGTGGAGCAAGGTGCTGATTGGCCAGCTTACAGCCTTGTGAAAAACCACAGTGACAATGCTGATCGCCACACCCCTAATGTAGTGCAAGCACCGCCTCCATGCGAGTGACAACTCTGCTCTGAATTCGGGAGCAGAGCAGCAGCTGTTGTCACCTAGTCACAGGAAGCTGCATTAGGTGACTCCACTGGCAGAGTCTGCAGGGGGGCTAAAAACTGCAGATTTGGGATTCTATGGTTGGATATGAGGCTGAAATCTAATAATTTCCAGTAATTGTCCTCTAATGTTCACTGGTGGTAGTTGGGTCTGATGTCTCCCAGCCCTTCTGGGTGCTGCTGCCATTGGTGGACCGAGAAGTTCTGTCCGCAGTCAGGAAGGTCCTCAGGGATGGTTATGTCCCACCACCGAGGCTCAGCCCGGCTCTGAAACCTCTAGAAAGGTTGATATGATATCAATATTTCACTTAGTGAACATTCCGGTGTCAGGGTGGCATCATCTTTGGCCAGAGATAACGTCCTTCCACATAACGTCCTATCCATCCACCACTCAGTTTATACCCTCCCACCCACACTATGGGCCTTCCACTCAGGTCCTCCTTTTGGGTACCAAAGACTTGGAAGTCCCTTTCTATTCTACAGCTCCTTCTAGATTCTTCCTTTCTTTGGATGTTGGTGCTGCTCTCCTGTCTGGCAGAGGACATCCTCTGCTCCACCTTCTTCCATGTGGTTGGATGTCAATTTTTCTCTCATCTCTAATGGAAGATGTCCTCTGCTCAGCCGCCTTCTATGCAGTTTGGATGTCGGATCTGTTCTAATCACTGCCAGAAGGTTCTGTAAGAGGTTGGATGTCGGTTCTGCTCTCATCTCTAGTGGAGGACATCCTCTGCTCCACCTTCAATGAGGTTAGATGTCTTCTGCTCTTCGTGCTGGTGGAAGATGTCCTCTGCTCCGCCTTCTTCTATGAAGTTGGATGTCAGTTCTGCTCTCATCTCTAGTGGAGGACATCCTCTACTCGGCCGCCTTCAATGCAGTTTGGATGTCGGATCTGCTCTAATCACTGATAGAAGACGCACCTTCTTCATAGAGGTTGGATGTCGGTTCTGCTCTCATCTCTAGTGAAGGATGTCTTCTGCTCCACCTTCTATGAGGTTAGATGTCAGTTCTGCTCTCCTTGCTTGTGGAAGATGTCTCCTCTGCTCCACCTTCTTCTATGAGGTTGGATGTTGGCTCTGCTCTCATCTCTAGTGGAGGACATCTTCTGCTCCATCTTCTATGAGGTTGGATGTTAGTTCTGTTCTCCTTGCTGGTGGAAGATGTGCTCTGCCCCACCTTCTTCTATGGGTTGGACGTGTGTTTTGCTCTCATCTCTGGCAGATGTCCTCTTCCCAGGCACCTTCTATGAGGCTGGATATCGGTTCTGCTCTCATTGCTATTGGAGGACTTCCTCTGCTCTGCCTTCTTCTATGCTGGTGTCAGAGTTCCATGCACTGTGCTCTGTTTTCAGAGCTCCTCTGTTAGGGGCAGGTATTGTAATTCAGAAGGCATTGTGCAAGTGGAAGGGTTTCAACACTGGGTCTAATTCCTTGCAGGCCTGACCTTTCCCCCCTCCTCCCCTCTTGTGTCAGCTATTCTGGGTCTGCCTGGAGGCTTCTCACACTTTGTTGGGTTTATAATTTGGGGTTTCCTTTTCTCTTCAGTTACTTTTTTGTTTTGCTCCTCCTTTCCTGCCTCATCCCAAAAAGACCAATCACAGGTCAAGGAATTTGTAAAGTTACAATAAACTAAACTATATCCAGACGTCAGACACCTACATGACCCCAGATTCCAATACACAACACAAACTTGTATTCATAGACATTGGGTTACAGGCCGTTACCTTCAAGTGCTTGGACACAGGCAGGAACTTTGCTCTACAGCCCACCCTAGCAGATGTCTATAACCCCGCCCACTCCATGAGGCTCCATGCTTTTGCTAGTGTCTTTAGATGATGGACCTCTTCCTTTTCACTTCTGAAATTTCTTTCAAGACACGACTACTTATTGCCCTGGTCCTTAGCAGTTTCTGGAATGCTACTCAAACCTCACTGTGGTGGGGCCAGCCTGTAGTGTTTGGTTCAGGAATTGGCTTTTTCATTAGGTCACGGGTGTCAAACTAGTGACCCTCTAGCTGTTGTCAATCTACAAGTCCCATGAGGCATTGCAAGACTGACAGTTACAAGCATGACTCCCAAAGGTGAAGGCATGATGGGACCTGTAGTTTTGCAACAGCTAAAGGGCCACCAGTTTGACACCCCTGCCTTAGGTGATCACCCATTGTTTGGCCAGTACTTGGACCTGACAGGCAAGCGTTTATTCTTGTGATTAGTAGTAATTAATATTTGTGTTGGGATATTTTATAGAGATCTATTTATTGAATATGTCTGATGTGTCCAGTCGGCTTTGTGCAGCTCCTCCTCAGACACTGTGACTTCTATCTGCCCTCACTGCATCGGTGAATGGCTGAGAAAGGCGCATAGGTGACCTCCAGACTGTTGGATGACTGTGCGTTTGTATGGTGCCCTATAAGTCCCACGTAGGAAGGAAAGACACAAACTGACCACACCAGGATGGATTGGCTTCCATTCCAAGAGTGGTCAGTAAAACAGATTAGGATCTGCTTAGGGAGGGG